CCTCGTCCCTCGTTACGAGTACGTTTACACATTCCTTGCCGCAGATCTCTAGTCCCAACATCCAGTCCTCAATCGTCACGTTCGGCCCACCAATGTTTGCCAAAGCCTGCAACTCTTTCCCCCTCACCGTTTTGATCGCCTGGAACAAGCGACACTGTGCTCATGTCACTGAAGAAAAATCGCACTGCTTGAAAGAACACCCAGTCTCCAGAGCGTTGATGGAATCGGCCAGCGCTGGCTGCACGCGCAAACTTGAGATGCCAACAAACGGAGACAACAAACTACGGCCTGCTTGGCCCCGACTGTCGGGCTCGCCGTGTCCGACCCCCCACAAAACACAACAGAACAGGGCCCCTTCAGCTCGATGACTCGCCGGATGTGCCAGGTGATCCGTCCGATGATCGCAAACCAAGGAAACCGCCGGACGAGCCACGTTACGGTTGAGGCTGGAAGACGCATTTCGAGATGCAACCCCCTTCATCACACAAGCTACAGAGAAGTGTTGACCAGTTGGAGCATGGAATCAGCGTAGAGAGTGTCAGACAAGGAAGCGGATGCGTATGAGATGAGCGAAGCAGAACCACATCAACCTGAAGCATTCTTCTGGCATGAAAAAACACTGATCAGACCAGCTGGACATGAGCACTTCAAAGTGCCGGAGCATCAATTGCACCGCAAAGCATCAAGCCGGCCGCTTATGATCATCACACAAGCTGTGGACGAACGCCAGCTGAGCATGGGATGCCCCAAACAGGCAGTGGATGAGCATCCCATGAGTCACGGAGCTCAGCGAACGGTCCTTGCTGTGCTTGCTGGAGCAGTCTGGTCGCTCGGCTCCACATGCTTGCGGTGTCTGGAGCACTAAATGTTTGGCGACCCCTGCTAAAACGAACGGCTGTAGATGTTATCTCGCTTTTGTTTACAGTGCGCATGCTTAGCAAAAAGTGTGCTTGAGAGCATCCTCCCAACAAACAGGGCCTAGTGACTAGTGCATAACATCTGGATACAAGCCGGCACTAGTGAAAGCAACACTGAAATGATTGACTGCTGACATACAACAATCTGCGCAATCACGCATGAAGTTTACAGCTGGACCGGGGGGTGGGAAGAAACACCGAGCACCTGACGTGGAAGCGCGTCAGAATCGTCAGAATGTCACTGCGGTCAATGAGACCTGGCATCGAATGCAGATTTAGTGCGTCAGGCACAGGGCACATGGCAAATTGCCGTTTAGGTCAGCGTATTGCTGCGTGCCTCAACCACATGTTCAGCATCCTGTTATCCTGCAAGGAATTACGGAACAAGTGACAGATGTAGACATGAGACACAACAAACCCAAGATTCTTTTTGTCACAGAAGGCGCAGCACATCCAGTTGCACGATTATGCTTTTGCAACTCATGAGACTGTATCTGTATTCGCCTTGGCGTTTTGCCCACGAAGTACCTGCCTTAAACGGCTGAGCACCTTCAGTCTCGGGACATATTTGGAGAAGCACGTTTGGCATGTCCGGAAGGGTATCTCGCGTTTCATTTTTCTTCGGCTTTCTAGCCTTGTCTTGGCATGTGTCGTTCAGGTCCTTTGCAGTTTTCTTGACTCCATACCGACACTAGGCTGCAATGTACTCACACGTACCACACTTCACCCGCTTCACGGGAATCAACAAGTCATGGTGAGCATTCCGAGACGGAACATTGCACATAATAGCATGTCCAGCAGCGTCAGAGACACTGGCTTCACTCTGTGGGTACGATACCCCATCCCTCCAGCAAACCTCAAATGCTTCCAACACCATTTGCAAATGTGCGTTGTCTGTCGGATAGATCTCCAGGAAGGGAGCCCAGGTGTTGTTGGCGGTACACTTGCGTTGCATGCAATAAAGGTGGAACCGTGCCGCTAGGGAATGTGCAACCAGCTCTTCCCACGGCTTTCCTCTCGCAAGGCTCCCCTGGCTGCTTTGCAATACCAACTGCAACGAATCTGGCAGGAGACGATCCAGACGGATGTTCAAGGCCTTCAACGCATCCTCAAGCTGCTGGCGGACCGCTTTGTCAGAACACCACCAAACCCGTGGAACCAGTACTGAGTTGTTAGCTGGAAATGCCGCTCCTGCATTGAAAATCTCTGACCATGCTGTAGATGTTCCAGGAACAGTACTATAAAGACCGGTATCTGCTGTCGGCCACCGAACGGCCGAGCAAAGAACCAGTGATGAAGCAATGTCTGGGTCAGAAAAATAAGGTCCGGCAGACCCATACGACTCCTCGAGGCACCGCGACATTTCATTCAGCGCAGTTTGTGCGGTTGACCTCAAGACTCCGCTCGTCTCGGAAGCATACCGCAATAGTCGAGGAACTCCACCCGAGAAAAGCACAATTTGGTTGAGCACATTCTCGTCATACTGCGTCCCGTTCCAGTGTTTCATGGCCAAGTCAGCAGCGTCTCGAGACAGCGGCGCAAGCGCTGCTAAGCCACAGACGACAAGCTTTGTGTACTCGGAGGCCGGGCGATCTTTCATCAGGTTCAGTGTGCCTGTACAGAAGCAGGCCATCTGCTGGGGAAGCCTTGAAGAAATGTCCGTAAGCGTTGACTTTGTTCCTTCCTTGCTGCTCTGTCCCTTGCTTTCGCTCGCAAGGAGTTCTGCCTGATCCAAGAAAAAAAGACGAGGGCAGTCTTTTGGCGCCGCTAATGCTTGTTCGGTAATTGACAGCCACTGTTCGAGCACATCGCGCTTGCTCTTACAACAGGACGCAATCCACGACAGAACACTGTCACCTGATGGGGTTGGAGTCGAGCCGCTCTGCTCCAGAAGCTGCAACACAGGACCAAAGTCCCTGCGCTCAAAAACGACGTTTTGCCCCGGCGCAACTTCCACAGTGTAGTCGTGGAAGATCTGCAGAAGATGCCAAATGATGATGGCCGACACCAGCGCGTCAGCATCCGTGCTCAAGTGTTGCTCTAGCTCAAATGCATCGAACACCAGCAGCCGTCCACATCTGCGGCTGTCAGCATACTGCTTGCTTTGCGCGAGGTGTCGAACTAGCGATGTCTTGCCCGTGCCCCTAGGGCTCCAAAGAGCAACGAGCCTAGGCTTATACAACCCTTTTGTCTCGGTCGTCTTGTTCATCTCAGCCAAAACCTGGTCCACAACTGTCTCCCTCTCCAAGAACGAACGATCTTCTTTGTTGTTGATGCGTCCATCCAAGAAGCGATCGTCAAGATTGGGAAGCTCGCCGCCAAAGTCCTTCAGAAGAGTAGATCCTGCCTGCACACAAACACCAAAAACAAACGCAGCCTGAGAGCAACGACCGCACGAAAACGCACGACGACCATGCGGGAGTGCTGCAAACCAAAGTCAACAGCAACAACTGCACACGCAGAAGCCCCGGCCTGCACTCGTCCTGCCGGCACGCTTGCTTTCGCCGCCTCCTTGGCCTCCTTGAGATCCTGCTTGGCCCTGTCGAGCTCGACCTTGGCCCTGTCGACCTTCTCTTCGGCCCTCTCGACCTTTTCTTCGGCGCTGTTGACCTTTGTTTCCCACTTCTCCGCTGCCTCGGTGTTGTTGGCTTGCACGGCATTTTCCCATCCGCTGATGGCTGTTTGCAGTCTGCTGATGGCAGAGTCGCGCAGTTGTCGGGCTGCGGCAAGATCCTGCCGCAGGTGAAGGAAAGCGAGCAAAGCACCTCAGCAACAACACGCTGGGAGGCACGTCCTGCTTAGCACCTTCGAGCGGGTCTGCGGTCTGCGCAGAGGCGGCCTGCTCCTCGACATCCCGCCGAGCAGCTTTCGATGCGAAATCCGAGCACACACGGAAAGTACAAACAAACCTCGCCTTATCTTCGTCTTCGCCAGGTTCCGAAGGCTCTTCCGCCTGCGCTGTCCGGGAAATACTTTCGCTCTCGGCCCTGCGTCCCTTGCAGCCCGGCGTGCTTCGGGCGGCTTGCCGTGCCTCCTGAAGAGCTCGGCGGCACTCGAAGAGGACGAAGTTGACGATGAGGACCTGGCCACAGGAGCAGGGCCCGGGGTTCCGGGAGAGGAGCGGTGGCGCACAACACTCTAGGTTACGAGGGGCGGAAGGCAGCACAAGGCACTCCTGTCACGCAAAGGCCGCCTTACAAAACCGCTCATCTTGCAACCCACCGAAACCCAAAAAGCAAACACCACACTCTAAACCCTGCCTGTCGATATGCTTGAAGATGTCGAAGACGAAGATCGCGATGAGCACCTGGCCAAGAGGGGCCCGAGGACCCCGAGCAAAATCAAGCCAACATGCAACTACTTCCTTAAACATGCCCAGCCTAGGTTTCACATTTCCGCGGGATTCCTGATTCAGTCTCGCCAGAAGATGCCCAAAAAACATGCCCAAGCCTAGGTTTCACGTTTTGGCGGGGGGGGTCGGTCTCGCCGAAAAATCGCCCAAAACATGCTCAAGCCAGGGTTTCACATTTTCGCAAAAATTCTTGGTCTCGCAGAAAACGCACAAAAACATACCCAAGCCCAGGTTTCACATTTTCGCGTGGACCGCCCAGGGAGCGGACCTCGCTCAACAGTCTGCCAGGCTCCATCTCATCGGCCGGCCTCACAATTGGCCCAGCCAGAGCCCACAACGGCTGCACTGTCTGCCTGATGTTCGGGAACTATTACAGCTGACTGGCAGGTCTGGTTTGTGTGCGTTTGTGTGTGTCTGAGGCTACGGCAAGCACGCCCAGGACAGTGCCATCAGCGAAAGCAATCGGAAAAGTGGCTTCTTCTTGCTCGATGCCGCTGCAACGCGTGCCATGGCGCCTGTAGGTCCTAGCTGTTTGCTGGAGCAGTAACACTCGACGAATCAAGCTCCACTCCGGGACCTGTTTCAGTTGACTCACACGCAATAGGATGTTATCCTGCGTATGTCAGTGACACTAATCGCACACCGTGAGCACGCAGAGGCCTCGGCTCAGACATGCTTGCCCAGCGGAACGTCACAGATCGGCCCTGCCGTCAATGCGGATCTTCTTCGACCTCGGCAGGCGTTTGTTGCGGGTTGTGACGCCAAACAAAGTTGTGAGAGTGCTTTGTCGACAGTCGGAATCACCCCTTGACTGTTGACTTCCGTGATACCGCTGTGACCCGCGTGACCCCGTGACTCCCGTGACGCCATGGTCGTGACCCTGTAACCGTGACCACCGCGATGCCCATGACCCCCGTGACCTTTTTTCGGTGACTGCCACGAACCCCGTGATCTGCGTAATGTGACCCCCGTGGCCGGCATGGCCCTGGAGGTAATGACCCCCGTGACCCCTTGCTGCCATGACTCCCCTCACCCCCATGACTCCCATGACCCCATGACCCCCGTGACCCCCCTATAATCCCCGTGAGTGCTGATGTTCGCGATCTGTATAAAGTTCATTTGAAGCCAAAGATCCAAACCTGAAAAGCCTTTTTGGGGACACGCCCTCTACTTCCCGCACCCTAATTCTCAAACCCGTACGCGCAGGCCCTAAACCCTATAAACCCTAACCCTACACCTTGTACATCCTGAAACCCTAAAACCCTAGACCAAGGTGCTCAGCAACTGTCAGGATTGCTCGTGAACGGCCAAGACTCACACGGGAATCGGTGAATTAGTGAATCGGTGAGCAGCGGCGACGGCGATGAATCCTCGAATTGGTGAATCGGTGAGCGGCGGCGCCCGCGGTGAATTGGTGAATCGGTGAGCGGCGGCACCCGCGGTGAATTGGTGAATCGGTGAGCGGCGGCGCCCGCGGCGAACTGGTGAATCGGTGAGCGGCGGCACCCGCGGTGAATCGGTGAATCGGTGAGTGGCGGCACCCGCGGTGCATTGGTAAATCGGTGAATCGGTGAGCAGCGGCACCAGCAGTGAATCGGTGAATCGGTGAGTGGCGGCACCCGCGGTGCATCGGTGAGTTGGTGAATCCGTGAGCGGCGGCACCCGCGGTGAATCGGTGAATCGGTGAG